TTTCTTACATTCTACATGAGTGAAATCATATGGTATTTGTCTTCCTCTGACTTACTTTGCTTAGCATTAATACACTCTAGCTCCATCCATGTCATTGCAAATGGCAAGATTTCACTCATTTTTATAGTTGAGTAATATTCCACTGTAGATATATACCACAACTTCTTTATCCATTAATCAGTCAATGGACATGTAGGCTCTTTCCATAATTTGGTTATTGTAATAATGTTGCAATAAACATCAGGGTGCCATGATGCCGGATTTCCTTTTTTGTTTTTAATTTTTTTTAATTATTTATTTAGTTTAATTTAGAGACAGACAGAGTATGAGTGGGGGAGGGACAAAGAGAGAGAGGGAGACACAGAATTTGAAGCAGGTTCCAGGCTCTGAGCTATCAGCACAGAGCCCGATATGGGGCTCGAACTCATGAACCCTGAGATCACGACCTGAGCCGAAGTCAGATGCTTAACCTACTGAGCCACCCAAATGCTCCTGATGCCTGATTTCTTAACAGGCAGCATAGTAGAGTGGTTAAGAGAATGGAGCCCTAAACTTTACCACTTGGATTCAAATTCCAACTCAGCCATTCACTAGTCACATGACAAGTTACATAAACTCAGCTTCTCAGTTTCCTATTTCATAAATGCAGGTAAAACAACTACCTCAAGTGGATTGTTCTGAGAATGAAATGAGTTAATACACATAAAGCACTTGGAATAGTGTCCAGAACACAGAAAATGTTTAATAGGTGTTAGCAGTTCTTATTATTGTTGTTGCTATTTTTTTTACCACCACACCTCCAGCAATACAACAACTTCTGATTGCCCATATGCTAAAATGAGGTGTTCCACAGAATTTTTAACATTAGAGCTGCCTTTCATATAAAAGGAAAAAAGGTATTTGTGGCTATTCCCTGAATTCATGTTTACAATTAGTAACGGAATACAGGGAAGTGTAAAATCTAGTTCATACACTGTAAACATTAGAGGGGGTTTTCAAAAGAACATGTAGGTTAGCCACAAGGGTTAGAAATGAACGGTAAGAAAATAATCAACTTGGAATTTTCTTTTTATTGCCCAACTCCTCAGGGGAAGTTGGGAAACTTAGGAGAATGACAGAACATCACAGTTGACTACAAAAGTGAAGCAGCAGCATTTCTGTGACAATGAAGCTCATAAACAATGGTGGAAAGCTAAAATACTAGAGGATGGCAATGGGATAGGCAGGGAAAAGTAAAGGTAAGCTTTGGGAAATCAAACTTACTAATAAACCTGTGGAATAAGGAATGTATGCAATTATACGTACTCTTAAAGAGAACTTGGTGTTACACGTAGCTGGAACAAAGTCCGTAAAAGGCAAAGAGAAATCAATGTTTAATGTTTCCCCACAGGCTGCCAGATACACTAACAAAAAGAGAAAAAAAAATTAACTTCAATAAAACTTGAAATCAAAATTGCCTTAAATACATACCTAAAAAAATTAAAGACAATATGCTCAGTCTAATACAAACTCTGAAATAGTTCCCTGAAAGTATTATAAGACAATGGAAAAAAGATCAATTCTAGTTTCCATTAAAACTATAAATTCAACATCAATTTCCTTTTTTGGCATTTGTCTTAATGAACAGAATACTTAATTTTCATGTTCTTACCATTTTCTTGTTGTTTAGTGGAACAATCAATCCAATTGTGTTGATTAGCAGCCCAAATCATTTCAAATTGATGAAACATGATTTTAAAATTCCATGTATATGGCACAAATGAAAAAATGTCTGGAGCACTATCACTAGACCAGTCTTGAATTAAATCTAAAATTATGGGAGTGGGAGACAGAAAGCAAAATTAATTGAAATTCAGACAACAAAATATAAATATTCTAACACCAGACAAAAATAAATTTTCTTTTGTAAGAAGAAGTTTTATGCTGAAATATTAAAAGATGATTAAGATACAGCTAAATGATTAACAGTAAACCAATGTTTACCTACCAATTACAGTTCCAGATAAGAGAAATTTTATGCATTTCATATAACTATTATTTTTTAAAGAAACTTTAGAAGACAAAAGAAAAAAGAATCACCTGGTAATCCACACCCAAATATCCATCATTGTGCATATGTTTCCTTCTAGTTCTTTTCTATGTACATTTTTATACTATCTTAGATGTCCATATTTTATATATTGCTTTTTCTCACTGAACTCAAAATTTTTCCATGTTATTTCATACACATTAACAAAATCTTTTTTATAATATAATGTCAATATATTTGTAATAAAATCCAAGTCAGTGACTCTTTGCTTATAACATTATAAAATATAATACATTTCTCAGAGAATGTCACAATTTGTGTATGTAGCTAAAACACACCAGAAACAGCATTTTGAAAATACCAATGACAACATTGTTAAAACACTCTGAGATTATGCTTTTTATATTCTCTATTAGAGCCTCTCAGCTCCCATAATTTCCCCCAAATAGCATTACAAAGTCATGTAAGGGTAGTCAGACAGAAACAAAATTATTGAAAATATCCTCCAAAAAAATGAAAAGATGCCAACAATCACACAAGGAGTTAATAACCATAGTATTTACAATGGAAAATAATGCTTCTGCCAGAAACAGTACTCTGCTTTTATTAGCCAGGCATTTTTTTCATGTTTAATTTTATATACAGGCTGTGTGTGTGTGTGTGTGTGTGTGT